CGGGCCGGCCCCCGCTCTGCCTGCCGCCCGCGGTGCGAAAAGGCTCGGCAGCCAGAAGAGAGCTGGAATTTTTCACACGCAGCTTGAAATAGAGCCGTGCGTGCTGAAGTTTCTCGTTGGTACAAACTGCTCTTTAGTTCTGTTCAGAATTCTTGACGGTGCTGTAAGTTACGCAGCACTTTACTTGTGGTGAACTCATCTGGGTCCCATCTTAAAGGCAACATGCCCAGGCTTTGTTGCACTGTGTGAGGTGGTACCAGAAGGAATGAACCTGAACTCCTCTCCGCCTGCGTCTGCTCAAGTGTCACAGCCGTGCCCAGGCTCAGCGGCGGCATCAGCGCTGACATGAAGTAACCACAGAGAGTATTGTAAACCAGGGAGCACCTGGCTCTGCACACTAACATAAGAAGCTGCTCGCATCGCTTCCCCCTCTCTAAATCCACTGAACTCTTTTTGAGCACCCAGATTTACCGTTGCTTTGCAAAAGTCAGGATGAAACTAACGGTTTGGTATTCCAAGCTGGGTTTAGTTGTGTAAGAACACAGCCGTGGTTTCTGCTCACGCTCCATCCACACTGGCGGATGTACCAGCATGAAGCAAGTCAAACTGTATAAGCAGTAAGGGTGGAGGTGGGAGGTAGTTGCCGTCTTTAGTTGCAAATTCACATATTACACAACCACTATGACCTGTTTGAAAAGGATGGCACAATTTCATCAATCCAGGTGTCAATACCATAACCTTTAGTGGGGCCAGAGTATATGTATGTATATTAGATATAAGAAGTTCACTTGATTCCTTACACAGGACTTGGGAAAGGCTGTCATAGCTTCAAAGAATCAGGCCTTGAGAATTGAAAACATGCCTTTGAGCCACCCCTATCTTTCAAAACTCGGTGTTACTTAATCAGAGGGATAGAGCTGCACTGCTTCTGAGCGGGGGCTCGGGTGGAGTCATTTTGGTTGTCATTTGGGAGAGCTAGCTACCGCATTCCTCTCTGTGCAGTTGCTCAGCAGCTCCTCCACTGCCTTCCTTCTGGAGAAATGAAAGTCTAAAAATAATGCCCTATTTGTTCATAGAGAGCACCATGAAGGGCAAATGGGAAGGGAAGGAACAGGCAGACTATCACCTTACATTTATTATGTTTTACTATTTAAACAAGACTATAGCTTGTGATTAACAGCCTGTTCCAGTGCCTGCAGTATGCTAAAGACTTTTTCAGCAGAAAGGAATAAAGAATGCCCATCCTGGAAGTTTTGTTCACAGCTGAAGAACATTTTATTTTATGAGAACAAATTTTGAAAGATCATACCCAGATATGTCAATAGAAACAGAGAGACGGCACTATTCTAAAAGACACAGAAATAGGTAAAAGATATTAGAAGCAGAACTAGATTTAGATTCCCTACAGTACTAGTACAGTACAGTGTCATTTGCAATGGTTCCCAGACTCAAAGACTAGTGAAGTTTCCTGAACAGAGGTCAGCATATGGAATCAAGCCTCATATCTGTTCTACAAAACATACACAATCATGGTTAAAGCTGGAAGCATTTTAGAAGTACACTTGACTTTTACACCATCACTGTTTGATTTTACTTTCTTAGCATAAGAAGTGAAAATAAAATTTAATTTCTGTTCACTTTTTCTGCAGTTTTCCACATCTATGTTGCTAGGGCATGTTTACACCTAGATAAAAAGTTTTCTTTCCAATGACGTTTTTAGTAATTCTTGAATACAGAATGGTTAAGAGTGGTAATATAGCCATCTTAGTAACATAACAAAGCTCCTGAAGATTTTTGCAGTCTATAGAGCAATGGGGTTTTTTTAAATTAAATTTTAAATTTTTGGCAACAAGAGACATAAAGATGCCTGCTATAGTGGGTCATTTTGTTCTTTGAACTGTGTCTCCCTTAAAGAGCATACCATGCATAGAACTACATGACACTCCTAAATGTGTTTTATTTTGGTACTTTAATACTACAGTGTATTTTATAGTACTGTATATTCAGTTCCACTGGACTGATGTTCAAGTATGAATCAGGACTCTTGGTGAAAGCAGAGTTTTCCATATTCTCTTGCTCCCTGTTTTTTTCAATGTAGTTTAGTTCTAACAACACAGCTTTAAAGTCAGCTGTACATGGAAAGCACATTTAGTTACAGAGGGAAAGTATATTGACATGCAGATTATTATTTTAAAACATATCCTAACAAGAAGAAAAAAATGGGGCAACTGAAACAGTACTGTTAAGTAACTACCTAAAAAATATGACATACGTAACCTGATTGTTGCTGCACACAGAAATCCAAATATTGATACTGTGTGATGGGTAAAATAAATTGATTTAGCACAACTGTATAAATCTTGACTCAGCCTCCCTTATACCCAAAGAAGCAGTGTTATCATGAATGAAAATAGAACTGGTGTAGGTGGAGAATAGCTCAGCAATTCACTGCACTCAGCTGTTACTTTTAATATGGTCACTCAATCATAATCTAATCCAAGAGAAAAATCTTGAAGGTCCTTCTTAATTTTACATTTGGAATTACCGTGGAAAGCCCATTCACATCAGGCTGCAGGTTCTCACAATGTACAGGGCTGAGACTGGAAAGGAAAATGCGCAGCACCTATTTTAGCTTTGCTCACGGCTTTTGTTTTAAAATACAGTTTGAAGGGAGGGGGATTGGGGGAGCCTTTTTCTGTGTTTTTGATGCAGTAGTGTTTCAACTTAGCACAGTGTGTAGGTGCAGAAGTTGGGAGACTGCCTACATGGTTAGTGGAGGGAAGTTTCTTCAGAACATTATTCAACATGATTCAGTGCAAGGCACCTGCCATGATTCACTTTCTAGAGCAACAATCTGACTTAATTAAGTATAATGGAGGAGTGTGGCCTCTAAGTTTAAGATCTAAATAAGGTACTTAAAAATGAAGAAGTGTGAAAGTACTTGTTCAGTTAGGCATCTAGTATTACTAAAAATATTAATACATCATTTCAAAGGAGACAGAAAAATAATTGCATGTGTGGTATTCATACCAATATGCGACTTTACAGGTAACAGTGAAAAGGTCTACACAGTATGTACAATGAAGACGGAGTAAGGACAAGAAGGAATCTCACCTAATTCTAAGTTGCTTTGATTTTCTTACATTGTGCATGTAGATAAGGTGTAACAAACAGTTTGTTTTTCCTGGATGAGCAAATCAGTGGCAGTGTGTAACTAAAGTGAAAAGGGAACATGTTTAAGGGAAAAAATGGAGCACCAAATTTTGGCTTTTCAAGCTAAATCACTTGTCTTTCTTGCAAGTTGGAAATTAATTGTCTCTGTAAAGTGACTCTTGGTATCTGAGAATGAAATCCATTAGCTACCTCTTCTCTAAGTTGGTTTATAAAGGTTTCAATTTCACTCCACCTGCCAGGAGTTTTTGTCTTTTCTAATTTTCACATACGTGCTTTTTATTAATGAATTATACCGATTATTATGTTATCCCTTGATCACACTTGCGTTTTTTAACTTTTTCTTTGAAGCCTTTTTGCTCTTCTTTTAACACTGATACTGCTGAAGAAAAGTCCCTCGTTGTTATGTAGTATTAATAAGCATGCAGCACACACAGCATGTTCCCTTTCTGGCACCATGCCTGCTCAGTATGTTTCACAGGCAGCTGTTTCCTTAGATTGTTTACTTTTTCTCTTCAGAAATTATTCTTACTAAACTCAGTCTACTTGGGAATGCTTGCAAGTTTGCTTACATGGCACTTGTTACCTGGTTCCAACGCGTGTTATTAAAAATGTACCTATGTCACTCATGCCTCAAAGCACTTTGTCCTTGCATTCATGTTGACCCCATTTATTTGTGCATATAGTCTCATATCTTGAAAATAGCCACAACTGCATTGGATTGATATAGCAGGCAAGCGCCTGGCATATGTGAGCCAATTACTCAAAGGACTTCTTAAAATCCTACTTCCAAACATGGAAGGTAGAAACAACCAAGCTGTCTGCCCATTTTCTGCAGATCGCAAACAAGGCAGCATGCTAAAACAATTGCAGGAACATAAAGGTGCCTGAGCAAGGTCTGTTGCATGGGTAAACTGGCAGTAGTTGCCACGGAGCTACAACCATGTAATACTGGAAGATCAGAGCCTAAGGAGGGCGTTAGGTATTTATAACAGGAATTGGGCAGATATTTAGTAAATATATAGAATGTTTTGTTTTGAGGCAGGGCATACAGTTTATCCCAAAAAGGGGATGAAATAAAGGTATTTATTTCTGTGGAGCTAGATGTAAGCAAAGACAGTGGAAACAGAATCGACCAACAGTCAAGATTCCTAAAACTTGAGGTAATTTTATCTAACTACAACTCCTTGGATGCTGATATGTGTCCTTTTGCTAAAGCTTTTAAAAGCCTTCTTGTGTTTTTAAAGTAGCTCAGCAGAACATTTACAGACTCAGTTAAATAACTATGCATTCAGGCAATCTGCAACCAAAGTGCAACATTACTGAATACTTTTCATACCGTGAATGTACCCTGTTCAGCTTTTTCTAAATATTGTTAAAATCATTTATTTTCTTCACAGTCAGGCTTCTAGACAAGACTTTGTAGGAAGCCGTACTCCCATCTCTCTATCCTTTTGAAGAATGCCAGAGCCAACATTATTAACTGTATCTTAGAGGATCTTTGCTTTGACAACTGAAAGGCAAGCTCTCATATAGTATATGGGGGGTCAGTGAAAGCTGCACAAGAAACACTGAAACCAGGTAGAACACTACTGATGTAATTGGCATTTGATTTAAGATAGTTGATACAAAGTTCTAGTAGAAAATGGATTTCCCAATTTTATCAGGGTGCCTTTATGTGTGGTGAAAAGCCATCATCTGGGCTGTTGCTAAGGAGGCAGTAAAACAATCCTGTCAAATCTATGCTATAGGGGAGAATGAAATAGAACTAGGTATTAGCCCAGAGAAGGAAGCATTTTGGACAAAGAATTACTAACTTAATAAAAACCATATCTAAATGCAAAGACTTGGTTTCTGTCCAAACAAGCATTTGGTGAAATAAAGGGGCAATTCATCTGAGTAACATTTTGTTTGAAAGTTTTTGTATTAAAATAATAAAGGACATTTCAGTAGAACTCTCAATGAAACAAATTAAAAATTACTGTCATCATTACAGTCAGGAGATGAAAAATATTTTAATGCTTCTGTCCTGATTTAATGTGATTTCTAGTGGAAAGAACTTACCAAGAAACCCTGTGCTGTTTAAAGGCAATACATTTGTCATGAAATCCAGGTCCCTACTAGGGCTAAGAGAAACCTGTTTTTTTATGCTCAAGTTATAAAATGTTGTAGAAAAATCAACAACACTTCACAGACTGTTTTTCTCAGATGTAATTCTTTATTACTGTTCATGAACAAGCTGGGAGTTAAGATGTATATTACGTTTCTGAATGGCATAATTACATTCTCCTTCTGTTCAGCTAATTTCTTTTTCT